AGGCTTACCAGATTGATACCTGGACTGAGGATGTTGCCTTTTGCTGAAATATTGGACCTGCTGAGGTTGTTTTTACTGGAGCTCCGAAGAACAAGGGATGCTTCGATCCTGAATGGCCTTGACAAGGTGGACATGGAAAGAATGATTATTGTGGGTGAGTCCAGAACCAGTGTTCTAAAATTACAAGTTTTTTTTAGGACAGAGATGAAGGGATTTTTTTCTTTCTCAGAGGGTTGTGCGACTTTGGAGTTCTCAGTCTCAGAAGGTGATGGGGGAAGGTCATTAAATACTTTTAAGGTGAATATAGATAGATTATTCAACTAAAAGCAAAATGCTGTGGATGCTGAAAATCTGAAATATAAACAAAAAATGCTGGTGAATCACAGCAGCGTCTGTGGAGAGAGAACCAATTTAACGTTTCAAGTCTGATGTGTCTCTTCTTTGCACCATTTTCAGTTCTGAAAAAGTCATGTCAGACTCAAAATGTTCACTCTGTTTCTCTCTCCGTCGATAGATTATTGTTTGCCATGGGAATGGGAGAGTAGATGGGCATGTGGAATTCAGAATACAAATGAATCAGCCATAACCTTATTGAATGAGAGATCAGGTTTGAAGGGCTGAATGGCCTATTTCTGCTCTTATTTTGTATATTCTTAATTTCCAAGAAATCTCTTTGCAGCCTCTGAAATGTACTGGCTAGCCTGCACTCATTAATTGTAGCTTAGAGGTAAGGCAACAGCAGCAGTGCCTCATTTCTATCTCAGATTGCTTCACTCCAGAGCCTGCTGATACTTAGATTATATGCGGACACAATTATGACTATTCCAATGCTATCTGTATCCAGAGGACAGGGTTCCATCCACGAGAAGGACCCAGCACTTAAATCACACAACCCCACTGGAGACATCAGAAGAGAGGATGCACAGACCCTGCCAGAACTATTACTTGTCCCACTAGGAGTAAAAGAGGTGAAGCGCTGGAGGGATTTGTAAACAAGGATGGGAAGTTTAAAATGGATTGTCTCTTAACAGGATTCCAAATGTAAATCAGCAAACAAAGGAATAATGCTTGAATAGGCTTGCTATGAATTAGGAGACAGGGCGTAGATAGCTTCAGGTTTAGAACATAGGAGGCTACGCAGGGATACCTTAGAATAGTCACATCTAGAGGTAACAGAGGCAAGTAAACGCGGTCAGACATAATTCTAGGGGTGGAAATAGATAGCGGTACTGATGGCACAGGCACATAGTCAGAGGTAACTTCAGGGTCACATATGGCACCACCACTGTTGTGAACAGCCTGCCTCAGCCTCAAACAGTGGCTAGAAACAGCACTGGAGTTGTTAGCTAGAGAACTGAATTTGTAGGGTGTTCCAAAGACGATGGCTTCAGTCTTCTCAATATTTAGTTGCAGAAGTATATAAAAGCTCTATAAAATCGTGAGAGGCATAGATGAGGCAGATAGCCAACAGCTTTTTCCCATGGTCAGAAAGTCTAAAACTAGGGCCATAGGTTTAAGGTAAGAGGGGAGAGATACGAAAGGATCCAGAGGGGTACTTTTTCACACAGGTGAGTGTCTGGAACAGGCTGCCAGAGGGTAGTGGTGGAGGTGAGTACAATTTCATCATTTAAGAAACATTGGGACAGGTACATGGATGGGACAGGTATGGAGGGATATGGACCAAATGCAGGCAAATGGGACTAGTTTAATTGTGAAAACTAGGCAGCGTGGACAAGTTGGGCTGAACGGCCTGTTTCCATGCTGTAGACCCCTATGACAGTAAGTAGTTACTCATCCAGCACATGATGTCTGAGAAGTTGTTTATCAGACACAGTAAAGAGGTCTAGCCAGTGGGACTGTGAGATGGTGGTTGTGGATGTCATCAACATACTAAAGGAAACACGTGTGTTTTTGGATGATGTCACAGAGGGTCAGTGTGTCGATGAGAAATAGGAGGAGGCCAAGGATAGATTCACGAGGGACAGCAGGATTAACTGTGCAGGAACAGGAACAGAATCCATTGCAGGTGAATCTCCAACTAAGATTAGATGGATAACCATAGCTTCTTGAAGAAATCAAGGCGGGACGAATCTTCGAAGTGTTACTTACGGAAAGGATGCTTTCACGTTTGTATAGAAGTTTCTCACATTTTGGCAAAGTATCAATTTTGGGGAGTTTCTTGGATCCTGGGCACCCTACAGCCTGGAAGACGTAACATTGAGTTCTCTAATTTCAAATAACCTTTCCACCCATCTCCCGGCTCCCTTTCCAGCCCCACCTCCTCCCTTCCATTCCACTTACCGATCCTCCCTTCCAGCTACCAACCAGATTCATCCCTCCCATCGACCTAGTACTGGTGTCCACCTATCACCACCATTCCACTCCCCTCCTCCCCCCTCCCTCTTTATCTGCAAATACCCCTACCCCCACATCTGGCCCTGAAGAAGGGTAATACCGGAAAGGTTGACTGGTCCTTTCCTCCAGACGCTACCTTGCTTGCTGTGTTCTTCCAGCCTCCTGTTTGTCTTCATGGAGCCTTCCCCTCCTTGAATCCTCTAGAACTATTCTCACACAATTCTCTGCTACTCACCTTATTAATTATGCATCCTGCTTCCAATACTGCCAGTCTCACACTGCCAAGCACTCATTAATAGTGAAAATGTTTGCCAGTTCTGGGACATTATGGCATTTATGTTGCATTGCTGTATTTAAATCACAGCTGCACACCATTTCAAATGCTCCCAGCCTGGTCTGAAGTAGCCACCCAGGCCAGTGTGTTGACCACAGTCCAGGGAACATGCAGCAATGCTGGAAGAAGGTAATGACTTTCTGCCACTCCACAAGGTGCCACCACCTTCCCTCTGCTCACACTCACTCTAACGCTGTCACCAAGATTCATGGTCCACCACCCTCACTATTGCATTCAGCATCTTCTCTCAATGACTCTCACCCAACCCATCCTATTTGCATAGAGTCGTACCGCATGAAAACAGACCCTTTGGCCCAACTAGTCCACGCCAACAAAGTTTCCCAAACTAACCCAGTCCCACTTGCCTGTGTTTCACCTATATCCCTCTAAACTTTTCCTATTCGTGTACCTGTCCAAATGTCTTTTAAATGTTGTAAATGTACCTGTATCTACCACTTCCTCTGGCAGTTCATTCAACACACAAACCACATTCCATGTGGAAAAATGTACCCCTCAGCTCCCATTTATATCTTTCTCCCCTCACCTTAAAAATATGCCCTCTAGTTTTGAAACCCCCTACCTTAGGGTAAAGAATTTTGCTATTCACCTTATTTATGCCCCTCGTGATTTTATAAACCTCTATAAGATCACGTTTTCTAACTGAGGATGGACCAGACCCTGACTGACCAAGTTCCCAATTGACTAGACTAAGAACTACTCCTCTTTGGTTTTCACACGTGGTCATTCATTTGAACAGCATGCTGTACAGTGTGTGTTTGCTGCATAATTGCATCACGTTCTGTAGGTGTGACATTGACGCAACTGGATGCAGTACATCAGCATGTCCACCCAACTGATTGTTCAGTGCTAGCTAGCGTGAAAGGCTGCGTGGCTTTATGTCTGAGCAAAAAGGCAAGGCAGAGACACTGCAAGCTTCAAATAAGCACCAAGTGAATGAGCACTAAGAAAGCAAGTTAATAGCCCTGGGTGCACCCTATTCTGATGCATGAGATGGGTGTCTGCCCCTGCATGCAAAGTGGCCTGGCAGTGGCACTGCAATGTAAGCTCCAAAATACAGTAATGAAGTGCAGAACTGTGTTACAGGTTAATCCAAGATGTGCTATGATGATGATGTTGTGAAGCTGGTGCTTTGCCGATCCCGACTACTGCAGATGGAGGATGTAGGTGGTGATTGCCCGTGGATGTTGCCTGAGATGTTGGGACATGCTGGCCAACACAGAGGCCCAGAGAAGACATCAGACAGCTGCTGGCTTACCTGTCTGACTTTAAAGTCAGAAATTGGTGCCATCTAATTTCTCCCTGGAACCTGGGAGGATAGTGATCTGGATATAAATAAGATGAGGTTGGCTAATAATGCGATGTTAATGCATGGAAATAGGTCCCTCAACACCTACTAAGTAAGATTCCCATTTGTCTGTTGAAACCTTAATGGGAAAATCGCATTTTTTCCTGGGCGTTGATAACCTCATTTTTACTTCCTTGCTGTATTTTCCCAACTTTTGTGCCTTTGCCCATGTCATTCAGACCCTCGGAAAATTCTGACCTCAATTTCTGACATTGGTGCTCAGCCAGTTAGCTGGAAAAAGACTCTTGAACCGTTGTCTCTTGGGCCTGACTGTGATATCAAAGCTGATCAACTGAGCTGGTCTGCTGAAAAGGTAACAGTGACCTGATCTGATTCTTCCAGTACTGCTCTGTTTTAGTATTCTGCAGAGATTCTCCATGCGTATCTGAAGAGGGCTTGAGCTGGAGAACATGAGGGTGATGGTCACCTTTATTGCTGCCAAAAGGTCAGATGATGAGCATTCTGAAGAGTAAGGCTGGAGATTCAGGTAGAGCAGGTCACAGAAATCCCCAGTGGCAAACTTTGGGAAGCTAATCTTTCTGTTGCAGAGCTCTCCAGAGAAATCCTCACACAGTCAGTGATGGCTGTTACTGTAGTGAGCTACATTATTTTGATGTGATGTCCAATTCTCTATAAACCATAGAATTATTATAAAGTAAATAAAATCTGTGCGGTTATGCATTTCAATAATAAATTACTGCAGAGAAAAGAAAGTTCGCACCAAAATTCAAAATAAATCCAGATCCATTGTTATTGCTACTGTGAGAAGTAAAATAATGGTAATAAGTAATTGCAAGTATGACAAAAATGTGTCCCATTTAGAATAACCCACGTTATTCAAAATTCAAAATATTCAAAATATCCCAAATTTGAGACTTTAATAATATTCCACATAATATTTGAATACATATTGAGCAATTTATGAAAAACAAACATAAAATCATGACTTCAAATGTTAGAAATATGAAAAAATTGGTAATACACAGCACATCAGTCAGTATTTCTAAAAGAAAATAACATACAGGGACTCCTTTGCAAATGCTGCTATTTCACACATATACTTGTAATCCCGGTTCGCCCTACATGTGACTCCAGACCCATAGCAATGACGCAAAACTGCCATCTGGGCAATTAGGGATGAGCAATAAATGCTGGCCTAGCCAGCGATGCCCTCATCCCGTGAATGAATAAAAAAATGTCATATCTGCGTCAGGTGCGCTTGACATCGACTGTGATGTCTCATATTTCACATCCGCAACAATTTTCTTTCTGGCTGATAAAATAGTATCTAAACACCCCACACCAAGAAATGTGTAAATAATAAGGCTGAGACAGTTGTGGACTTCAACATATTAAACAAACCTGTCAAATATTAATAAATGTAATTATATATTTGGACTTAGTTAAACGTATTTTATACTTGCAGCTGCTAAGCACTATTCACAGTTTTGGATCAAACATGGAATTCAATTTAATTAAATTAGAATGGCCGTGTTCAAGATACTGATTTTCTGATATGACAGTCAATCAGTAAAGCTGCCATCAAAGTTAAAAGGAGAGATTAGGGAAGCCGTTCAGAAATTCAGCAATGAAGAACATAAAAATCTCTTTGTATGAAGGACAGCCAGTTTACTATCACTGAGTTAATATATATGTGGTGTAAAGCAATTTCCAGCATTTATAACAAGTGTCAAGTGGCAGAGGAACAGGAGTTTCGAGTTACAAGTAGACAGTTGCAGTTTTGTTCTTTTTACAGCAGGAATATGGGTGCCTAAGGGCTACTTTTGGTAAATAGAGCTGGTCCGATCCTTCCACTGTTACAGGAGAACCTTTGTGAAATTCTAATGCCATTTCCAGCTTTTAGCACTGATACAAAAAGTATCTGTTATAAAGGATGTAGACTTGTTGTTTCGGATATACCTGAGACAGGTCGTGATGTCTCACACTCAGTTTTCAGAAGCTCAGCCAATTGTTTTTGACTGATACAGCCAGCATCTTTTAAAATCTTTAGAAAACTATTTCTAAACTTCACACCAAGAAATACATAAAGAATAGGATTGAGACAACAGTGTAGATATGCAATACTCTCTGTTACAATAATTGCATAGTCTGTATTCGCTATGTATTCACAACTAGGAATTTCTTCACTGAAGATCTGTAGAATTTCCAGCAACAAGACAATGTTGAAAGGCAGCTCACAAATCACAAATACAACTACAACTGCAATGATAATCTTTAATGATTTGTGCTTCTGAAACCCCTTATCCTGGAGCAGAGTTTTTGCGATGACTGAGTAGCAAATGATCATGGCCACAAAGGGTATCAGAAATCCCACCAGCAGCTGTGTTACATGAACTCCCCCTTTGATGATGCTGCTAAAATTGAGAGGATATACCATGGTACAGATTGTTTTATCAGGTATATCAGAATACGCTTCACTTAATATGAATTGTGGAAGAGTCAAAATGATTGCAAACACCCAAATGCCCACACAGACTAACTTACTGTGAATTATTTTCTTTCCATCATTGAGCGTTTTTGTTGCTTGAACAATGACTTTGTACCTGTTGATGCTCACACAGGTGAGTATTAACATACAGCTATAAAGGTTAACAGTGTATGCCCCATTCACAAGTTTGCACATAAAAGTTCCAAAAATCCATTCAGTGTATGCATCAACCGCCCAGAATGGCAGGGTGCAGAGAAAGAGCAAG